CAGTGCTCAGAGGAAAGCAGGAAGGTTGATATGGGGTCTGTCTGAATTCAGAACAGTTGAGTTGCTTGTTTTTTCCTCTCCCCATTAAAAGAATAAGCACCCATGTCTCCCTCTTTTTAAAAATTTCTATTAAATATATTAGGGACATTGGTTAGTAAAATTACATGGGTTTCAAGTGTACCATTCTGAAATATATCAACTATATATTGCATTGTGTGTTCACCACCCAGAGTCAGTTCTCCTTCCATCAAGCACCCATTTCTTAAGAGGTGTTTTCAACAGAAGTCTGTCACAACATCTGTGGTCAGGGAGTCAAGACAGATGCTACCACCTGGGCTGATGCGAGAAAAAGGAGTCCGCCTCTAACTCTAGGATTGTCAAAAGTATAGGGCCGGCCAAGTGGCGCGTTGGTTAAGAGCTGGCTTAGGATGCCAGAGGGCCCTGGTTTGGATCTCACATATGAGGGCCAGTGACACTGCCCTCCACAGCTAAGATGTTTAACAACAGCTCAACCTGGAGCTGGGCTGCCGTGAGTCGCTGGTGTTGGCGTAGGCTGCAGCCCCTGTGGCAGTGGGTTGCCATGGGCTACCATATGTAGCCAGCAGCCAGCGTGAGTGGCCAGCAGCCACCGTGAGCGAGTGAAGCAACGTCCTCCACAACTAGATTGAAGAACAAAAAGACAGCAACTTGTCTGTTCCTCTTCCCCCAATTCCCCAGCGCTGTTCCCATCCCCCAATTCCCCAATAAAAATCTTAAAAAATATATATATATATATGTGGAGAGCAGACGCTTCTTGCCTTGGGCAAGGATTAAGACGCTGAATCTAAGAAGCACAGAGCTCCTAGGAACTGTGGAAGCAAAGGTACCACATGGAGCAAGTTCAGGGGGTGGGGGCGCCATCCTTACCCAGCAAGACCAGGTCTCTGTGCTTCTCAGGTACACCTCCCTGTGGAGCGATCAGCTGCCCCCACTGGGTGACAGCCTCAGCCACGTCCCTGATCACCAATGTCTCCTGAAAAAACAAACACAGCCATGCTCACCAAGGGACCTCCTTCCAGAAACCTCTGGGAAGGGCTTCAACTCACAGCATAGGAAAAGGAAGACAGGAAGGATAGGAAGGTTAGACTAAATGACTTCTAACACCCCTTCCAACACAGATTCTTTGGAATACAGTGGTCCCCCACTTATCTGTGGGGGATACTTTCCAAGATGCCCGTGGATGCCAGAAATAGCATAGAGTATTGAACCCTGTACATACTGTGATTTTTCTTATGCACACATCCCTTTTCACTTAAAGGAAGCACTTTCCAGCTTTTCTTTGGTATATCTGAATTTCCAGCATCATTGCTCTTGGCTTTGGGGCCATTATTAAGTAAAATAAGGGTGCCTTGAACACAAGCACTGTGATACCGTGACAGTCAATTAGCCAATCTGATAACCCAGACGGCTACTGAGTGACTAACAGGAGGGGAGTGTCTACAGCGTGGAGATGCTGGACAAAGGGATGAGTCACGTTCCAGGCAGGATGGCACAAGGTTTTATCCCGCTACTCAGAACATCACGCAATTTAAAATCGATGATTGTTTATTTCTGGGATTTTCCGTTTAATATTTTTGGATCACAGTTGAACGCAGGTAACTGAAACTGCGGAAAGGGAAACTGGATAGGAGGGACTACTGCTATCTGTAGCCCAGACCCGCTCCATGCCTCCATGCATTGGACTGTATGTTACCTGCAAGTGTGAAGGAAAACGTCTTGGATGTAATATCTGAAGGTAACAAGTTATTAGTTCAGGTATCAATAAATTAAATTACAGAATATAGAAATCCTTACTGTGTAGACTGGGAAAGTGGAGAAAATATAATTACGAATACAGTCTTTTCCTTATGGTATGGTTTTAAAATATAAGAGGTTCAAAAAATACAAAATATTTTTCTCTCTGGTTTTCCTTTGAGAACAAAATCAGTTCAATCCATGTTAAACAGAAAGGTGTTTGCTACATGTGTCACAGAAATAGACTTATTTGTAAAAAACTAACTCAAACCCAAATTATTAGGGAAGTTCACCAAGTGTTCTTGCCATTTGTCTTGTTAGTCCTGATGGGTCTGACCCCCGCCCCTCCTCGACCCCACCATACACTCGCCCTCCTGCATTCTCTGTGCTCCAGCTGGCGGCCGCCTTTCGGCTGCCTGACGTGTATGCCATGTTCCCTTTGGCCCCTTCCCACACACTGCTTCCCGTTCCTGAATGCTCTCCCCCAGCTCATCCCTTCAGCTATTTTAGTCCTACTCACACCTCTGATGTCAGCTCAGGCATTACCTCCTCAGGGAAGCTTGCCCTGCCTCTCAGGGTTGTAGGATACGCTGCTGCCCTCCACACTGAGGGGACTTTCTGGTTAACATCTGTCTGACCTGCCCACGGTAAGATGCTCAACAGGAGAGGCCAGGTCTGGTTTTGCTCACTGACGCAGCCCTAGCACCCGGCACACAGCAGGGACATTGTAATCATATGTCAGGCAGGTGAAGGAATCGAGGAACGCTTGGACAAGAATTAGTAGCTAAAGCTGAAATAGGGTGTTCTGGAAAATGTGCATGGGGACAGAGGTGGGGAGAGGGACAGAAGTGTATCAAATATTGAAAACACTGCAGGAATGTTTACTCCAGCCTAACCTTGATCTTGATGGTAGGCACAAAGTTTGGACTGTATATTAAAATGTGGGTGACAGCCAGGTGAATGATGCTCCTTTGACTCTGTAGCTGAATCTCTTTACTGCTGATAAGACAAACATCTAATAATTTTTCTAATTCTATCAAAACATGTCTACATAACTTCAATTTAAATGAGGCCCATTAAAATAGACCAGTCCCTGGGATGCTAGCAAATAAACAGTCTTACCACTCTTTGAACCACCACTGTTGCCACAGCCGCTGAACATAAGCATGAATATAATGGTTACATTTGTTTATATCCAGCATTCTAATGTGTACTACACAGCCTTTTCAAAAACAATGGGTAAAACCATTCACATAATGAAGTTAAAAGAACTACCTACTTTGAAAATCCCTACTCCAAATAATTTAACTCTTTATTCTAATACTTGAAGTAGGACATCTCTACTCTTTTTATTTCAGTTTATGGTCTGTTGCATTATAGCCGATTCCGTTACCACCCCCCTACATTAGCCTCTGACCCATTAGTCGAGAGAGTGTCTCGGAAAACTGAGGCCGGATGGAATGATATCTGTAAAGCTCTCTCGGGGAGTGTCTCAGGTGACTGGGACCTATTGGAATGATAATAGTTATCTCCCCTGGGAGGACACGGTAACAAAGTGTCTTGGGGCTATGTGGAGGAAGTGTGAAGGCACAGGATGTGTTGGAACACAAAGGGAATGCTAATGGAAAAGGTCTTAAGGCACACATAAGTCACGGGTTACAAATTGATTGACAGCAGTGAAGCAGTTTCACTTCTTTTCAAATTTCTCAATAAAAGCCATGCGCTGACCCGATTCGGGGCTCACTCAGTCTTCTCTGGCTGAGTCCCTTGGTCTCGCTCTTAATCTTACTTTTGTCTCTTGCTCTTATTCAATTTGCGTCGCCCCTTAAGAGAAACCTGTATGCTCTTGCCACGCTGGACGTGACAATGGTCCCTTAAAGGCCAAACACCTCAGAAGTGATCAACACCAGTGAATGAAGCACGTCTCACCTTGCGGGGCTTCTGCAGAAGTTAATGCAGCCTTATTTGCCTTTGGAATAAGCCCCCATGTAGATTTTCCTGTGGTCTGTCTACACCATGCCCCAGCTTCTCTCAGCACACTCCAGCTCACTGCACAGTGACATACATACCCCTTGAAGACATCCAACTTTATCATCACTTGGAGACTTTTTTTTGCCAAAGCCGTTCTCTCTCAGAATATTCCTATATTCTATTCTCCAACTATCTACTCCTGTTTTTCAAAGACATAGCTTTTATCCCAGTATTTCCCCCCCCAAATATTCTCAAGAATGGAAAACCTCTTCCATGATCTATTATGGCTTGTCTGTACCAGTCATGTCTGTGTTTTAAAATGTACGTATTTCTTCTTGCTGTTGAACAATTTAATTTATGTTTTACTGCCTCAGTACCCTTCATGAGCCAGGGGCAACTGGCTTTTATTCCTTTGCATCTCACCACGAGGCCAATGACAGCACTGAAATGCTCTAAGTGTGCATCATGCACTAAGCGGGTAGAGAAGTAATGCTGGGGGAGTGAGGGTGGAATTCTCCACAGATGAGGAGCGTTTACCTTGGGGTTCACCACGTATCAGTTCATCCAGCGCATCCAGTACTCCAGGAATTAGGGCTGAACAATTCCATAACAATGGAAGAAACCATATCCATGCTCTGAGAATATCAGAAAGCAAAAAATAGTAATCTAGACCCACCTGGGATGCAGGGGTCAGCAGCACAGCGGTCACACCATTCTCTGTTGGGTTTCCAGCATGGAGAGGGTCAGATGCCTCAGAATGTGACCCTACAAGTGGAGATAGGAGCACGTTAAGTACTCTTGCCTTGCAGGAAACTCACAGAAACTGCCATACACAGCCACTTGTCACCTAAGAGTCAAACCAGGGAATCAAGGGACAATTCCACTGCATCCCTGAATCAAGACAACCATGACCCATGGCTGTCTGTTTCCCCCATCCTCCTCTGCCCTTAAATTCCACTAGAACTCTGCCATGAGAATCTGCACACTTAAGTTAAATACATATTTCTATCTGCCATATGCTGAGTGATGGTCAAAATAACACTCAAAATCTCTGTGTCCATCTGTGCCTCTCTCAATGCTTCATTCCTGTTCTATTCTAGGCTTACTAGATGAAAGACTAAATTCTTTTTGAACACTGGTTTTTCAGAGACAACACTGGATTTCTCAGAAAAGTGATGGGTCTTATGGGGAAAAAATCCAGGATTCTAAACAAATCCTGTGATTTCTCAAACCCTCAATTTCCCTATCTGCCTAATGGGTATAATAGCCTCCTTCCTACCGCCTTATGGAGTTCCTGTGAGGGCAAAAGGAAGTCATTACCAAAAGTCAAACTGTCAGATCCGTTGACGTGGGGGAAGGGAGACACACATCCTGCTATGGGCCAGCAGGTACTGCAGGTAGCGGCTCTCCCTCCAGGAAAGGGCTCTCCCAGAGAAAACGGATGTTGCCCCTTCCTGAGCCGGCCCCAGCCAGAGGGCAGCCTTTCTCCTTCTACCTCCGCGCCACATCCCTCCCAAATTCTCACCTCTGCCCCCAGGCTCCATGGCGACTCCCTCCCCAGCCCGCGCAGGAGACCCCCGCCGCGGTACCAGGGGGTTCACTGCTCTATCCACCCAGAGGCCCGTGAACGCGCGCGACCCTCCCCGGGCCACCTGGCGCCCCGCACCCGGGGGGCCTCCTGCCGCCCTTCCTCCATCCACTCAGGCTTAGAAGGACCCGCGCTCAGTCCTCCCCGATCCTAGGCTCGACCTCTCCTCAGATACGGAGGAAAACGGGCCAGCCAGGAAAAGAGGCATGTAGGAGCCCGCCGCTCCAAGTAGCTCCAGGCCGAACGCGAGATCGAACTACAACTCCCAGAACCCTCCGCGCGGCATGGCGCGGCACCGGACGCCGCTTCCTAGGTGTCCCCGCGGCACGCCAGTCTGGCAGCTTTCCGCATCTAGGGCTGTGTCTTTGGCGATGCGGCCCGCTAGTGTCCGCCCTGCGGGAGTGCTCGGCCCCTTGGAAAGCGCCTTTCTGGGCAGTCGAAAGGCCACCCCTTCCTCGAGGCTGACTCTGGGCTCTGGTCCTGAAAGAAGCCCTCGGCCACTCCTCGTTTGGAACCTTCACTCCCCACAACTGACTCCGCGGAGAGCGGCGCCTCCACCCCCAGGATTCCCTCGCCGCGGCTGTGGTCTTTTGTGGGGATGGGGGGGGGATAGTGACTACCCCAAGTAGCCCGGGATGTTTATTCCAGGCTGCACCTCGTAAGAGGTGGGCTATCAGTCCCGGAAATCACCTCAACCCAGAAACGGCCAGGTCGCCACTGGTCCGGCTGACCTCAAGGAGACTGGAACCTCTAAGTCCTGTACACTCCCTGCGAGCTCGGAGCCGCCGGCTGGCAGTGGGTGTGTCTTCAGGCTAGTGCATGTGCTCACTTATATTCCCACTATAAAGTAACCAATTTTCTATCCAGTTCAAATTCGCGAGAAAGGAAATCAAATTAGCTTGACTGACGTCCGTGTTTGGGTACAAGCCACAATGTCCATCTGTCCTTTCTCTAATAGAATCCCCATTTTTAGCAAGGCCTCTGGCTTCCCAGGGTAAAAATTACATTTCTCATTACCCCTGCCCCTTGCCAGGGGGAGGAAAGGAAAAGTGTTTCTTAAAGGGAAGGGGAAGGCTCCATGGTGGCTGGAACACAGAGGGACAGCTAAGAAACTCCCTTTGCCCTTGCTGTTCCCTTCTGTCTACCTGGAATGTGGATTTAATGGCTGGAGATATAAATTGGAGTTGATTACATTTGGATGGTACAGGTTCCCTCTGCTATCTGTTGAGTTATCATGAAGCATGTCGACCAGGTTAACACCCTAGGAATGGGGAACCAACAAGACAAGAGCTGGGCCCCTGACGGTTTGGTGAGCCAGCTTGGGCTTTAACACGAGAGAGATGTAAACTGCTATTTAGTATAAGCTCCTCATATATAGGGTTTCTGCTACACAAACAGCCACATTTCGCTCCTAACTGCTCCCTAGGTCCAATCGGCTTTGGGTCCAATCGTCTAGGGCTGGAGGAGAGGGGACATGTGGAAAACACAGCCCTGCCAGCTCAGAGATGGGCTGGAGGATGTCCCCCACCCTTCCATCAGCAGGAAGTAAGGAGTGAGCAGTTTCTTTCAAAAAATGGTGTGTATGAAAGGCCCCACCAGCTATGTCTGCAACACCAGGAAATACCCTTCTAACTTTTGTTAGCCATCCCCATCACAGAAATCCCATCTTTTGTTGTCAAATCAATGGTCAGTTCTCAGTCCTCTCAACCTACCAACAGTAGTTGATAAAAGTGACTACTCCCCTATCCTGGAAACATTCTGGTTTGCCTCCTTGACTAGTCACTCCTTGTCAGTCTCCTTAACTAGTTCCTCCTCTTAGCCTCTAAACCAGTGGTTCTCAAACTGTCGAGTGATCAGAATCACCTGGTTAAACACTGTGCTGAAAACTCCACCCCTATCAGAATGTCTGGGGTAGGGCCTGAGAATTTGCATTTCTAACAAGTTCCCAAGTGATGCTGAAGCTGCTCAGTTGGGAATCAACTAAATATTGGAATGTTCCATGACTCAACAGATAGCAGGGGGAACCTATACTATCCAAATGTGATCAACCCCCAATTTATATCTCCAGCCATTAAATCCACATTTCAGGTAAACAAGGGAATGAATGGCAAGGGCAAAGGGAGTTTCTTAGTTGTCCCTGTGCCTTTTAAGGTACCTTTACAGAAGCCCCACCCAACAAGTTCCAATTCCATCAATATACCATTGGCCTAATACCTCACTGCAAGAGGCTGAGAAATATATTGGGTTGTTGGAAAAGTCATGAGGCATTTTTACAATGAAAAACAGAAAAAATACGTCATGACTTTTCCGACAACCCAATGGTTGGACACTCTGCTGCTCAGATTAGATTCATATTTTGTATTATTAAGGAAGAAAAAAAGAAATTAAAATAATTGTGCTTTTTAAAGAACACCTAAACATGAAGACCCCGTCCTTGTTCTCATCTTGGTGCCCACGCTCTCAGCTGTTCTCTGGAATTACTGCTTTATTATTAAGGAGGAATTCTCAGAGATGTAGGTGTGAGGAAGCCAATCTGCGTGTCTACTGTGCAGATGTGTAGGACAGTCTGCATTTGGGTTTCACAGATACAGATGTTGAGGGCAAGGCCACCACGTCTAATAGGACTTGATGGCTTTTCAGTTACATCCTCATGCCTGCTACTTTTGTACTAAAGGATGACCACTCATGGGGGAGCTATGTCTGAGTTAACTGGCTTGGCGCTATTCTTTGAGATTAAACATAGCCCCATCTCCTGGCTCACTGTGACTGACTTCTTCAACTTGGGACCTCACCCAAGCTGCCATGGCTGCAGCTGGCTGCTGCAACTGGACTTTGAACTTTCTAGTCTGAATATTGTCCCTTCAGTAGCTATGAGTGAATATGTGAGAAAGGGAAAGCACTGTGTCCAGGGTATGCATGGAATGGCAGGGCTGAGCTAAGGAATCTGTCACCAATGAGATTAAAACTAAGATAAAAATCACCACCATCCTAGAAACAAGGATAGTTGGGTGACACATTTGGCCCACCAGAGCCCAGAGGACAGGTTACAGGGCGGAAGAGCCAAAGGTCAGGGAACCTCAGGGTCCCGAGGAGCTGAACAAGAGCATATGACCCAAGTCAGAGCTCTGAGAAGCTCCAGGAGTGGACTAAGCTGATAGCATGACAGCAATGAAGGTGTTTGTAGTCCTGTTAAGATTAGCTTCGTATTTATTTTCCTACTGAAGTCTCCAGAAAGTGCATTTGATTTGAGACTCACGTTCTTGTGACTAGGCGGGTATTCATCCCTTCAATGTGCAGACTCTCTACCATATCATCTTCACTTTGAAGTTCTCTAGCATTGCAGACCCTTTTCTTTGAAGAATTGGTTCACAGAGTGCTCCTGTTCATTTGTGCTATAAGTATTCAATTCTCTTTTAAAACTTAGATAAGGCTTGTTGAAGCACCAGAGACATTATTTCATTTCCTCAAAACGAATTTTAAAGTCTTAGGCTAAACCACTACCAAGTCTTTCACCTTCTGTTTTAAGCATGCTGGCATACTTCCAACTTGACCAGTTTCTGATTCCAACACTGGATCCCACTAATGGCCATTAGGTGAAGCTAAAACCTCAAAATTTAAGGCTTTCACCTCAGTGTGCCCTATTGTGAGATACCAAGTAAAAGGTAAAATGGCCCTTTCCTCAGAATTTTTAGTAGATGGAACTGTATTTCACGTTTTAAAAAATGCTCTGCAGAATACCAAATTTTAAAAGGACACAAAGAGCTATCAGGTTTGTGTCCCCATTCTCTCTCATTTAGGTCTGTATCCAAGTCTGTCAGAATTCTGGGTTCATTCTAGTCTTGTCTTGCTGACAATGCCAGAATATCTTAGGGAAGTATTTGATCCTCAACTTGCATTTAACAAGGCAGTCAGTGAAAGATTCAGAACTCTCAAAGACAGACATCAGCCAAAAGGTAGTCAACAGTGCCTTTTATTTTCTACTTAACATCATTAAATAACATCAGATATTACCCACTCCAGTAGATTCTGTATTGTTTTTACTCAAGTTGCTCCAAAAGTCCACACATGGAGTCTTCTCTACCTCTCACCTGCTGGAAGGGAGGTGGGCTGAGACCAACAAGGATGCTGGTACCGCGGGAGGGTCTGGCTGTTTGGCAGTGCAGCTTCTTGTGTCTGTTAACTCCTGGGAAAAATGCTTCTTGGTCCACTGGGACCCATGTGAGGCTGTCTGGGTTGTAGACAGCCTTTCAGAATCAAGTCCTCTCTGGGCTTCACTTTAAGCAGATGCCCGGAGTCAAAAGTTGCCTAATATCTGACCTTTAATAAAATAAAAATATCAAGCTGGGCCCAGGGAGAAGTTTCGGAGTCAGGATTTAAAGTTCAGCAGTGTGGGATCACATCAAGGCAGACCTTAAATATTCAGAGCAGCTTTCATTAATTGAGCAATTTGGGTCCTGAGTAAGGCAAGGATGGACACGAAGTGGTCATCTGGAAAGACTGGCCTAACAGTAATATGCAAAATGTAACTGACAGAAGCTGTTGATGTTAACCGAATATTGAGGTGCTTGTTCATTTTCCTGGCCTTTGTGCTGGGTTCTGGTTATTAGATGTTGCCTTACAGCCAATCCCACGACCACCCCCTCTGCATTAGCCTCATACCCTGTAGTCGAGAGAGTGTCTCGGAAAACTGAGACCTGATGGAATGATATCAGTTGTCTCCCCTGGGAGGACATGTAACAGAGTGTCCTGGGGCTGTGCAGTGATGTACGAAGGCATAGCATTTGTTGGAGTACAAAGGGGTCCGGTAATGGGAACAAGCCTTAAGGCACCCACGTATACACGGTTAATGATTCACAGTTCTGCAGTTTGCTTCTTTGAAGATTCTCAATAAAAGCCTTGCATTGACCCGATTCGTGGCTCAGTCTTTCTTAGGCTGAGTCCCTTGGTCTTGCTCTCAAATCTGACTTCTGTCTCTGTCTCTTTATTCAAGCTGCGTCGCCCCTCTCGTGTCCCATTAGCCCTTGCCACGCAGGCCGTGACAATTAGATGTGGACAGAAGTGATGGATGGCCCTTAAAAATATCCCACAAAATCCTCCAGCTTTCTCTTCCATGATGACCTTGGAGGCAACACGTTTTACATGAGGATGGAGAAAGATAGAGTGACTCACATCAGATTTCATGTGAGAAATGAAGCTTTGTTTATTTGGGGTTTCACTTGTTACAGCACCATAGCTAGCTAAGCAATGCCCCTCTTCGATGATTAACAGGGAAAAATTCATATCAGAAAGTGAGTATTGCAGTAATGGGAGCCTGAGCTGATAAAGGTATAGGCTAGACTGAGAATTCAGACAAAGGATACAAATCCAAGAGGTGTTTTAATTACAGAAGACTGGGTAAGAAGTCATTAATTCAGATAAGTATTTATTGAGCTCCTATTCTTTGCAAGGCACTATGTGAGATACAAAGACATATAAGTCATGCCTCCAAGTGCTTACAATGTAGTTGAGGAGATCATACATGTACATAAATTATAAAACAAACCTTACAGTGTAACGGTAAAGGGAACAGATTTTGAAGGTAGACCTGTATTTCAGACCTGGCTTCACCTCGGGCAAGTTATGTAAGCCCTCTAAACTCGTTTGCTCACTGTAAAATGCAGTACCTACTTCATCGGGCTGTTGAGATGAAGTCTATTCCTTGCAGAACTCTTGAGTGCTTCCCCCATAATAAGCACAGAATAAGTGCTAACTATTAGTAGCATTATTAAGAGATCTAAAAGCTGGGACACAAAAGAACAAGGTCAGTGCCCCCAAACGCTCTGAGAGACAGAGACTAACCTACCCAAAGAACTATTTGGGAAATATCAGTCCTGCTCAGATATAATTTTGCCTTCCCCTTCCTGTTGTCGCCTCCAGTTATTTATTTTTTAGCTGAGCCATCTTGCCACCTATTGGTGGCACAGCGGCAGCTCAGCTTGGGCCGGGAATCAAATTGGAGACTATGTTGCTCAGAGCTCGCGCTCTTGAGCGAGCTCTTAACCAACTGAGCCACTTGGCTGGCCCTTCGCCTCCAGTTAAAGTGCAGTGACGCCTGGGGCCCTAGACAAGAGGTGTGTCTGAGGATTGCCTCCTAACATTTACCCTGTCATCTGACAAACTTCTGCAATATGTTGACTCTTTAGAGTTGCATCCTTTCTAGCATCCCAGTTCAGTCCTGTAACACAGCAGGTGGAGAGAGTTTTTATTGAAACACTGGTAAGCAGAGGCAGGAAAGGACAGTAGCAGCCAGAATAGGTAGAATGGATTTGTTTAAATGGGTAAGACCTACTTTAAGTTTTCACGGAGGTCCTTTGACTAAAGCTTTCACCCAACTCAGTCTATTCCCTGTTTGGCATAACGCCGTTGGTGTTGAATAACCGATGATTTAGAACTAAAAACTTTCCCACACACGCTACACTCAAAGGGTTTCTCCCCTGTATGAACCCTCTGATGCCGTGTAAGCCGGCTTCTCTGGCTAAAGGCTTTCCCACACTCGCTGCATTCATAGGGCTTATCTCCAGTGTGAATCTTCTGATGCTGTGTGAGCGATGAGCGGTCAAAGAACGCTTTCCCACACTCACTACACTGGTAGCGAGGCTCTCCAGCGTGAGCTTTTTGGTGCCTATTTAGTGACGAGACACCATAGAAGGCTTTCCCACACTCGTTACATTCATAAGGTTTCCTACCAGTGTGGATTACCTGGTGTCGAGTAAGAATGCTTTTCTGGCTGAAGGCTTTCCCACACTGACTGCATTCATAGGGACTTTCTCCAGTGTGAATCCTCTGGTGTCGAGTGAGAGACGAACGGTCAAAGAAGGCTTTCCCACACTCGCTGCATTTGAAGGGCTTCTCTCCAGTGTGAATTCGCTGATGTACAGTTAGGGATGAACGGTCAAAAAAGGCTTTCCCACACGCGCTGCATTCATAGGGGCTCTCCCCTGTGTGAGACATCAGGTGTCTGCTGAGACTGCACCTGTGACTGAAGACTTTCCCACACTCACCGCATTTGAAGGGCTTCTCTCCAGTGTGAATTCGCTGATGTACAGTTAGGGATGAACGGTTGAAAAAAGCTTTCCCACACTCATGACAGTCATAGGGCTTCTCTCCTGTGTGAGTCCTCTGATGGCGGATAAGAGATGAGTGGTCAAAAAAGGTCTTCCCACAGTCACTGCATTCCTGGTCTCTGTCTTTAGTGAGAATTTTCCTGTGAGGGGTTGACCCTTGCTGCAAGCTTTCCTCCTGGGAAAGGGATTTCTTGCAGGTCTCCACTGTACGGCTTTCCTCCTCTTTTTCTAACCCACTTTCCAGTGCATGAACTTCAGACTTAGGACACAGAGGACCTTTTCTTCCAAGCTTCCCTCTTGACGTTCCTTCTGGTTTTTCTTCTTCTGAAGCACTTTGAATCTCAGGCTTAGTCTCCCAGTCTGGAATAGACAGAAAACACAGATGCAGTTTCTTTCCTGGGCTAGGAAACGTTGCAGCTGGAATCAGAGGTTACTATGATAAATCTGAAGAGTGATATGGTCACTGCATTGCTTGCTCCCACAAATAGCTGTATGCTTTGGGAAAAGACCGAGCCTTGGAAATAAAGAAGAAGGTAAAAACCAGAACTGACCGAGGACATCTCAGAGAAGAGGAGAATGGCCATTGGGAGGATAGGCAGGACAATTAGGAGAGTTTGGGAAGTGGGAGGCAATGTGAGGAGTAAGAATACCCACCTTAATGGGCAAACATGGCAGATCTGAGAGAATAGCACTTGGTCAATAAAGATGAGTAATACTTTAAGGTGTAGGGAAAAAAAAAAAGCTGGTGGGTGATAGAGACAGAATTAAAACAGATGATTTCAATTGGAGAAAAAGGTGCCAGCCAATACTCCCTCCCACCCACCCCCAAAAAACAGCCACGAAATAGGACCGCCCTGCCCTGCTCATACACAATTACCTGGAGAAATGCTCCCTGGACATCTGTCCTCAGATCCATGAAGATCAGCTATCCAGGGCTCATTTGCTGTCTTCAACTGGAAAATCACATCTGGTTGAGGAACTGGAAGCCCTGCTCATGGAAAAAGAAACAAGCCAGACATGTGATAAAAATACACAACCACTCCAAAGCTTAATCCCAGCCTCCAGGGCTTTCGGAAAGAAATCGCAGCAGGCAGCCTGCACACCAGGAGTTCAGAGTACAAAATAATGCAGAGATGCTTGGACATCTGGATGGAGGTCGGCACCAAGCTTCTCACAAGGTCAAGACGTTGATAGGATCCCCTCAGATGCACGTATTTATTCTTCCCCTGGAGATGGAGGGGATGCTCCTCGCTTTAGTGCTGGTAGGATGGGGGGAAAGAGTCCTTGGCTCAGGGAAGGTAAAAATGAAGAAAGATCATCTGGAGTAAAAATGTGTAATGAAAATGCCCATTTTTGCTTGTTTGTTTACCCGTTAGTATTAATTCTTTTATTTAAAGTGGGTCATGTTCATTGTAGAAAAATTAGAGGTATGTATAAGTCAAAAGAAATATCACCTTTTGTACTTTGTGTTCATTTTTCTTTCTATTCATTTTGATACCGAAAGATACCTATAGATACATTCTGTTAAACTCTAGGTAATGAAATAATAATGATTTGTAAACTTGATTTTTTCACAAAATAAATTAAAAATATGATTTTATTGCAATTAGCACAGATCTATCTCACCATTTTAATGGCTACATATTTCTCTGTATGGAGTAATCTTTTTAATCTTCTGCTGACAGACACTTCAGACTATGTTTAATGTTTTGCTGTTAACAAATGATATGATGGACATGTGTGTACAGCACAGGCTGCTAACCCTATTATCTCCTTGGGACACATTTCTGGAAGTGAACCTATCCTTTTTTGGTTATATAAATAAATAGACTACCCCCCTGGAAATAGTTTTGAGATCTAAGCTTCCCTTGCATTGGACCCTGACTTGGGAATGAGAGGCACTTTCCTACTGGGTCCGAGGACCATTCATCTGGTTGTGTGCTGATTCTCTGCTGACAAAACAGCCATCTCCATTACCTCCCCCTGGCTTCCTGAGGAAATCTGTATCCCCAGTATTTCATCCCTCCAAAGGCTATGACAAAGGCTCAGCAGTCTCCCTAATGTTCCCCAAACACTCTGTTCAGTTTTCCATATTTGGCCTGTTTAAGCTAACCCAGGGGGTGTGACACTTTTGATCTGCTATGTGACTCCTTATACTGCCCCTGCTGCTTATTTTAAGCCTGTTTGTGAATCTGCACTCTCTCAGCCTCTTGTTCTGGAAGCTCCTGAGAGGTTCTCATTACCTACCAGAGCTCAACTTTACCTCTCACAAATACCTGACATCAGCAGGAATTCTTAATTTTCCCTTTGTCATGCAAGTGTCTAATTGCAAAGTGCCCCCTGCGGGCATCTAAGGCTGCACTTAAGACAAATCTTCAAAATCATACACATTTCTAGTGACCTACTCTGAGGCGCAACCTGTATTCCACTCCCACACTCCCCTTTTAAAAGGAGACACTTCTTCCCCCTCCTCTGCTTCTCTGAGAAAATTTCTCAACAAGATGGCTCCTCGCCTCACCCTTAGTCCTCTGCATGGAGCTGCGTAAGTTAGCTGACTGAGGAGTTGGGGGAAGGGCTGGGCACATATAACTCAGCCCCTTCTGTTCGCTCCTTTGGAAAACCAGCTCCCTGCAGCACACCTCTGTGCTGTAGGGCCAGGCTGCTGAGTGACTGAGCCTGTAGTCATCCCACCTGCTATGGTCTGCCCAATGCTGGGGCTCAGGATTAGGAAGCCCACTGCTGCTGTACACCTAAGCCACATCCTTCTACTGTGTCTCTCAGTGGTTCAGAACTCAGGTGGGAGAAGAAGTATCAATTTAACAGCCTCTCGACCCCACGTTAACACAGTAGAGTCCTCCTATGGGAAGCCCTGCTTACCCAATGAGATGATGCTCTCATAGTTCTCCAGCATCACCTCCTTGTAGAGGTCCCTCTGAACAGGGACCAGATGCCTCCACTCTTCATCTGTGAAAATCACGGCCACATCCTCGAATGTCACCAATCCCTGGAAACAATCACACTCTCCCTTACAACCTTTCTCTACAGGGACCAGACGCAACCGTCATAAAGATGACAGCCCTGGAGGATATGCAGGGAGGGGAAGGGAAATGGTTCTGACAAAGTGGGCTTTTGATGCACTTGGGGAAAGTTGCATGGACCCTTGGTAACAACCCCACACCCTATATTCACAGCTGAGCCTCTGAGTATCAGGGCTTCTTTTCCAGATTTACGGAAAAACTTGCACGAAAGGAACAAAGAATTCCTGCAGACCCTTTCCCCAGCTTCCCCCAATGTTAACATTTCCCACATTAGTTTCATCTTTCTGTCTCTCTCAGTATATATACATTCTCCTACCTTCTTCCTGAACTTGAGAGTAACTTGCAAACATGATGTCCCTTTACTCATAAATATTTTAGTGTATATTTTATAAAAAATAAGGACATTCTCTTGTATAATCACAGTATAATTATAAAAATCAAGAAAATAGCATTGATATTTTACTATTATCTAACCTACACCTTATTCAAATTTCACCAGTTGCTTTTTTACAAATCCTTAAAATAATGATGTTGATTCAATCATCTTTAGGATCCCTCTCATTTTATTGTAATGCTCTGCGATTCTAGAAGATTGTGTCTTTACCCCCATCTGAAAACCCCAGATGAGTGTCCAGTGTGTCTGCAGGAGTTCTAAGCCAGAGCATGGAATTCAAGACCTTCCATCTTTGAGTGGGAACGGGCGAGCACACATCTCTGCGAGCAAACTCTCCTCAGGATTTGCAAGCTCACCCAGGTGCTCTCAGCCTGTGTCACATTCCACAGCCTAACCCAGTGCTCCCTGGAGTATATGGGGCCTGCCCTCAGTCCATGGATGTACTAACGCAAGGTCAGGACTAGAACCAGCCCACTGTTCCTTAAACCTTCCAATCAGATCTGTACCATAGGCAAAATTAGAACAAAGGCCAAAGGGGCTGTGTGCCTGGTGAAAGTCTAGGGAGCACATGTTCAAGGGAAGGAAAGGTCACTGAAGGACACCAAAAGTCAAATGGGAAGGAAGCACTCCCTATGGAAACCTTCATTTTCCTGCTGGGTCAGATCAAAGAAGCTCCAGGACAGAGAAACAAAAGGGGTTACCTTCTGGAGACTAATAGAGAATTTCAGAAACACGAAAGTCGGCCTCACCTGGCATCCAGCAGTCGGACCCCCAGCAGCCATGCCCTCCTGTGTGCTCTCCTTGTAGAAAAGGGCAGAGTCCTAATGAAGCAGAGGTGTGGGATGAGAACAAAACAATGAGAAAGACCAGTCTTGTTTTGTAATTTTCTGACGCATGAGACAGGAAATTTCCATATACCAGTGAGTCATATACTCATCGTCAACTCAATACCCTACACAAAGGAAGGAGAGGAAAGCAAGGTTGGGGCAAGCCCATCCCACCCCAGAAGTAGAGCAAAAGGCATGGACAGTGCTATTCAGAACCCAACACGGGGCTTGTTTTACCATGATCGTGGAGGCAAAGTTCTCTTCCTGGGATTCAAAAACATTTTGAAGTTCATACTGTATTTATAAATTCACATTCACTATTGCCCTAAATGGTTACTGGATAAAAGGCATAAGAAATTTTATAAATAACTACACAGATAAGACATTTCACGTAGAGACCCGAAGCCTCTTCAAAGGAAAATGCCCCATTCGTAACTCTGCTTAAGGACTGCCTGTGGGCAGCCACGTTTTGTTCACTCCTGGAGCTACATTGATGAGGCCGCAGGGGCCATGTACAAACTGACCAGCAGACAGAGATGTGACCTGGCTTGAAGAGATGATATCCTGTAGGAAATGTCAGGACAAGTGGGTGATGAGCTGAAAGGACATTGTGAGGGATGGAAGTAGCCACAAGGATCCAGGGAGGCAAAGTTACCCGGAAGTGGAACCCATGAGAATGTGGGAGGCGGGACTAGACACAGGCTGGGGGAAAAGCAGCTGGGTCACATCAGTGGTGAAGCAAAGACCTAAGGATTCCTGGGCCTGAAGTCCCTCATTCACCCAGTCCCACCCCTGGGCTACAATTTGCATAGAGACCAGCCTTGTTTATTCTTGGATTTCCGTAAGACTCTAACCCTTTTAAGCTTTGTATGAATCCTTATCACTGGACTCCCTTTACTAGAGTTAGCTGAGTATGTCTCAGTTTCTCACAGTCATGAGTCTAATTAAGACAGAGTAAAATCAAACATTGCTGGGATTCATGAGCGAGACGGGGAGAGAGTGTGGTCCTTGGAAGGAGGAGGGAGAGGTGTGGCTCACTGCTCTCCTACAAGGTCTCTGACCCTCAGTTATTCATCCACGTGTTTTCCAACCAACATTTATTCAGTACTATTTATCAAGCCCCAAAACTACTTGACATTGTTCTTGTCCTCCAAAAGCTTATAGCTTAGCATGTAGGACAAACAACTGACCAAAACAGTATTTCACTGCAGGATGCATACGTGCTGTAAAGAGATATTGGAGCACCTGAGAGGCTTACCTAACCCAGACGGGAGCGGGGAGGGATGGGGCAGGTTTCTGGGCAGAAGTGGGATGGAAGATAAGTTGTGATTTGGGGGAAGATAGAACATTCTAGGCAGGAAAAACACCAAGTTTTCACAAACAAGGAGGCGGATCTTTACATGGAAAGGACTAACTGCTGTAGCTACTTTAGAGTGGCAGGTGCCTGGGCTCTGAGCAGTGCTGTGGGAAAAGATGAGGCTGGAGAGGTAAGCAGAGACCGGCTAGCTCCGGGAGAGCTCTGTGTGGCCTCTTTCCCATACATGGCATGGGGCTTAATGAAGAATTTAAGCATGGAAGTGTCATCATCAGGCTTTAGAAAGATAATTTCAATTTGTATTAGGGGCCTTGAAATATACATACTCCTTGACCCAGCAATTCTCTCCTAGGAGTTTCTCCTAAGGAATTAAGTCAGAATATATGCAAAGCTTTTTCTTTCATTAACATTAACCTTTATTGAGTGGTATGTGTGGAAACCTCCTAAGCAGTTTGCATGTATTAACTCATTTAATCCTTAACACTAACACAGGAAAAGTTTGAAATATCCTGTTTCTAAATAAGAGATTTGGTTAATCTCCTCCAGCCCATCCATACAATTGAGCACTATTAAACATATTAATAACTAGCATTTATTGAGCATCTGCATTTGCTATTGACCAGGCACTGTGCTATCTTTTCATAAAAATGAATCATTATAGCACAGAGGTTAAAAACGGCTGATAGACCCGAGGTCAAAACCTACCTGAGCCTCTTACATAGCCTACATTGCCTAAACTGTAACACAGGACCTACCATACTGATATATAGGGATGGAATGAAACTGTCCTCATGAGTACTGAGCTATCCCTGGATCTCAGAGTGTTTCTGGAGAATACACCCTTCAAATTCTCTTCTATACCTTCAAATGAACCCATGCTTTAAAAGCTTTACTGTTCCCGTCCTAGCTCCATAGCTCTTCTAAACCTCATGGCTACCACTCAGTTTTAACAGAACTCTGCCTTTTACCATAACAAGCTTCACAAGAGTGAGTTCCGAGTGGCAGGACAGTGAGGTAGAGAGCATTCTACAGACCTGGACTTATGAATAGAAGGCCCAACAGGCTGCTTAAGCCCACAGTTCACCTCACTGTTTAATACCTACTTCACGGAGTAGTTGTAAATACTGAGAGAAGTAATGTAAAGCATTTATCTTCCAGCCTGTTCAATAAATGAAGCTCCTTTCCTTTCTTCTGTCCATCACAATCCCATTCATCTTACCATCCAATGAATGTTTCCAAGTACCTGTTAGTGCTAGGCAGCAGAGGGTGTGAGGTCAACAAAGCAGACATGTCCATGTCTGCAGGACTTTACTTCCGTGTCCTACATCTGTGACCTCCTTTCTTTTCCACTATTGTTTCCTCTCAGAATCAGCTCCTGTATTACCCAGTCTTTCTTTCTCCAGCATCTCCTGTTTCTCCAGTACCTTCTTCCCAGATGTTTTAAGATACCATCCTCTATCTAAAACTATCTTCACTGAACCCCATGACCTCTCGCAAAACAGTTCTCATTTAGGTTTTCCTTTCACGACCAGACTTCTTGGATGACACATCCCTATCCACTACACATCACCACCTACTCTTCTTGAATCCGTTATTCTGCTCGTGCCACCCCTCACACACCTGAAACTGCGTGCCTGAAAATTACCACTGCATTTATGATCTCTAATTCCAATAGTCTTTTCTCCTTATCTTTATTTCTCTGCAGCTTTTGACTGTTTTGACAAGTTTCTGCTTCTTCAAGTAGTTGGTGTAGCTGCTACAATACTGCACTAGCCTGACTTTCTTCCTCCCACTAACACTGCATCTCTCTGTGACTATTTTTCCCACTATGGCCCTGGGGACATGGATGCTGCCCAAAGGCTCCATCTTTGTTCAGTGTTCTTCTTGCTATCCCTCAGAAAGTCCAGTCACACCTGGTACTCCATTTTCCACACTTACCCTGCATTTCCAAATGACTGCAATTTTGAATTAGGCATTCTGCCAGCACCTCCAAAACATCTCCCCCTCTTTAATTCCCCACCTCAACTCGTCTCCCTGGTTTTACATTTCTATCAGATGTTCTAGTGTTCTCCCAGGTGCCCCAAATTCAAACTCTTACCTCACTCTCTTTCCTCCCAAATCTTGTTAGTCACCAAGTCCTTCTGACTCTTCTTTGCGTGTCACCTGTATCCTTCCCCACCACTGACAGTCATAACTGAGGTCCATACAGCCTGCTTCAAGACGACTACCACCATCAACCACTCCTGACTGACTCCTGGTCACTAGTCCCTTCCTTTCTCTAGTCCTGGATGGGACCTCTAGAACAACTGTCCCAAAATAGTTTTAGTCCTGCCAGTTCCCAGATTAGAGCCATACAATCCACCCTGCCTGTGCCTTGTTCTGATCCTCTATGCTTCCTCCTGCATGAAGGACTCCATCACTCCTGCAGAGGGAGCTAAACAAGACAATCTGAGGTACTTTCTGAGAAAGGGAGAGGGACGGCAGCTTAGATTTATTGTCAGTTCCACCCACATTTATTAAGTACTCATTATGGGAAGAAGAGATTCAGGAGGCACAGAGTGAGAATTTTAATATAACTTTGTGGCCACATATCTGGACCTTTTTGCAGTTTGAACTCTGATTCTGTCTACAGGACAAACTGCTTTCCTTGTATTGTCTGTTTAATAATTACTTGTTTTACAAGTTTGTTTTGCAAGCTCTAAGGGAAACCAAGGCAATGGTCCTGTAATACCCCCGCAGCCCATGTCTCATGACTCCCCCCACTGGCCATATCTCCTACCTCTACCTGCTGACCATGAATTAACGGAAACCAGAAAGCCGAGCTGCTCTAAAAATGTATAGTGCATAGAAAATGTATAGTGTATACTTATGGTTCTGCTTCCCTTAGTAGCCAGTCCCCTTAAAGGTCAGCTTCTGGTGGATTTTGCCTTTAAAAGCTCTGTCCCTGCTCCCCAGCGGTTTATCCCGGAGGCTCTGTCTAACCCGGTTTGCAAACCATTTCTGAACATTCTTTCCCTCTCTCAGAAAGGTCGCCTGGAGTTTTTGTTGACAGGAGGAAGGCTCCAAACTTCCAACCTGAAAGTTGGAATCTGACACATAGTGGATGTACCTGAAAGACCATTTGGAACAGTGCCTGCACCCACGGAGCACACGCATACACAGGGTTCGGAGGAGACAACTTTGCGTCTGCACCTCTCCGAGCTGGGAGGTACACACGTACACACGTACACACGTATACACACACACACACACACACACACACACACACACACTCAGGCCGGCTCCGCCGCGTAACCCCGTTCTACTTCCACAGCACCTTCCCCAGGTTCTCAGTGTCCCCTTCTCACGGCCGCAGCGCTGCGCCCACTCCGCATCTCGAAGACACAATCCCGCAGCCCTCACCTCCCGCACCGAGCGCTGGGGACCCAGGAAGACGGCGCTTCTTCAGATCGGGAAAGCAATGCGCCTGCGCAAAGGGGTCTGACGCCGGCGTGCCCTATCAATACTGGGCCTTCTCACTGACTGCATTTCCTAGAAGTCTCCGCGGCCGGAGCTCTCTAATATGACGTCTGAAAACCTGCGCAGGCTTCTGAGAGGGAATGGTGACACCAAAGCGGGTGGGAAATGGCTGTACAGTCGCCACGGCCGAGAGTGAACCGGTGTGGATAGGTGGGAGGCTTGTGGTCACCTTGGAAGTACTGTTCGCGTGTGATGTCACGTCCCTCCAGTCCTCCGGTGGGAGGTGTGTCTTTCTGATCCTCGGGGCCGTCCCTGCCTCTAGTTTTCACCGCCTTCTTCAGGAACAAGTCTACACTTTTATTCAAAAAACCTAAATTGCTTAACCATAGGCGAGGCATTGTCACAACCCCTTGTGACCACTGCTCTGTTCTGTCCCTATAGTTTTGCTTTTTCTAGAACGTTGTATAAACAGGATTACATAGTATGTAACCTTTAGAAAATGACTTTTCACTCACCATAAAGCCCCTGAGACACACTTGTGTTCTCCAGAGAGAAGTGTTTGACTACAAAGGAACAGCAAAAGGGAATGTGGGTGGTAATGGGGAAACTTACCAGGCTGCTGGTAAGTTTATTAGAGCTCCCCTAACAGTGCTTGACACATCTGTTGATTAACTTTCCCAGAAGTTCCCGTGGGTGAGGAAAGGGCTGTAACTTCTTCCCCTTCGAGTCTGTATCCCACCCCTACCGTGTTGCCCTGAGCCTTGCTTTGTGCTGTTAACCTGTCTTATACCCGCAGGCTACCTTTAAAGCTCCTCTAAGTTCTCCTCTCTGTCTGTATTTTCCCAAGGCCTATTGGAGGACCTGCATGTTGCAGGCCCAGTAAACAGCTCCCCCGTGGAGTGGCCAGGCTGTGGTCACACTTCAGCTCCCTGAAGCCTGCTGTGGCCTGTGGACAGTGCGGGGGACTCATGCAGCTGGGAACAAGGGGCGCTCTCTCTGACGTAGGCAGGCTAGAGTCTGCCCCTCAGCTCTGTCCCCAGAACAATGGAGGTGACACACTATCTGAGCAGGGATCTCCAGCTGGAGGAGTCTGGGGCTGAAAGTACCATAAGGGTTAGCCTTCATTATGGCTCCTTTTACCTTCCTAGCTCTCCCTCCTCAGGACACTGCTCCTCCAGAGAGATACCCAGGAGAGGGCACAGCCAGTTTATTCCTGAGAGCTGAGCCTCACGTGAGCAGGGGCTTTTTCCTCAAATGCCTGAACTATGGCTATCTTTGCCTCCTTTTCTCTGGAGCCTCTTCGTTCACCAAAGGACACTGACCCCAATTCCTGCTCTGCAGGAGGCTGAGCCCATCAGGGTGGACACGGGGCTCCCTGCCCCATGCCCAGGGTCCTCTCCTTCCTGCTCACTATGCACTCAGACTCTTTGGTTTATTTCTGTAATGGGCACTGTGGTGAGTACCAAGGAGTGTCAGAACCACAGAGGGGAGAGGCTCTGGCACCCAGGAAGCAGCCCAAGCACAGGAAGGATGTGTGTGCATGGTCTGATGGCAGATGGAGTGGCACAGGCAAACCTTCCCATTGTGGTCTGGGAAAAGGAGAAGCAGCCTCTGCTGGAGAGGTTGGGGAAGGCTTGTGGGGCAGAGAAGACTGAGGGTGTACACAGGTGAGGAGGCCGCTGGAGGCTGGGTCCCTGTTCAAATGTTACCTTCCAGCATTAATAAGGAGACAGACTTCACTTGACTTCCTCACTGTGTGACCTTGGATGAATCTAAACTCTGTGTACTAGTTTTGCCAACGGTAAAGTAAGGGTGATAATCCTGTTAATGATGAAAACAATAATAGTTATTATTTACTGAGAACCACCTGTATCAGGAACTATTCTACACAATTTATACTAATTTATTATCTTTAAAACATTCCTAATTTGGAGAATGGCAACTGAGGCACAGAGAGGTAAACTGAGGAAAGCCAGGCACAGAGAGGTAAAGTAACTTGTTTGTGGCAAGCTAGCTAGTGAGGAAGGGAGCCCAGGTCCATATCCATTGTCTGGCTGCAAGACGAACCACTCAATAATACAACTGCCTCATGTGCTTGTTGGAGTCTTCCAGCTAGTGGACTTGCTTTGTCCTTGTCACCTTTGTTTGTGATGGGGGTGTTGGGGCTGGTGGTAGACTCCAGAGGTAGATTTGGGTTTGGCTATGCTAGGCTGGTGTGGAGGCTGTGAATGCATCCAAGATGGTAGTTTAATCATTTCCATCTGCAGAAGTGTCATTATTGTATTTGCTTCCTATTGTTGCGGAGATAGATTGTCACAGACTTAGTGGCTTTGAGCAATACAAGTTCACAGGTCAGAAGTCTGGCATGGGTCCCACATGGTTACAACCAAGGTGTCAGCAGGGCTGCCTGCATCCCTTTCCAGAGTGTCCAGGGAGAATCTCTTCCTGTTCATTTGAGTTGGCAGAACCAATTCCTTGCAGTTGCGAAACTGAGGTCCTCATTTTCTGGCTGTAAGCAGAGGGGTGTTCCTGGCTTCTAGAGACTGCTACATTCCTTGTCTCATGGGCCCTTTGTCCCCCTTCAAAGCTGTGAGTGGTGGGTCGAGTCCTCACACCACGTCTCTGACACAGCCAGGAACTGTTCTCTCATTTAAGGACTTGTGTGGTTAGATGGGGTGTAGGGAGCTGGAGGTCTGCAGTAAGGGTTAAGCCTGAAAGCTGGCAGGCTGACAGGCTCTCAGGCCTGGGTGAGCAGTGTGAGAAGGTTGGCCGCTGAGGAGAAAACAGCCAACAGCCTTGAAAGCTAGAGTGGAATGCCATCCTGTTAACAGTTTCTGCTTGCTGTGTTTTGCTTTACTCTGGGAAGATTGCTTCCCTACACCCTATGGAAAGCCCAGGGGGAGGTGTTCCCTGGGAGGAGGGGACTATTCCCTCAAGTTCCCAAAACCTCCCTACCTAAGGAAAGTTACTTTTACTATAAAAGCTGTGTATAAACAATAAACGGGGCCACTCTCTGCTATCAGCATTGGATGGACCTCCTGTTCCCAGCTTTCGCCTCTAGTCTCTTTCTTTTCCAGTCTCCCACCTCTCAGGTACCCTTTCGGTAGGCTCCTGGCTGATGAGTAGGAAGTGCTCGGTTGGTGTGCGGGTCGCATCAATGGGGCCACCCAGATAATCCAGGGTCATCTCCCATCTCAAGGTCTGTATCCTTCATCACATCTGCAAAGTGCCTTTCACAATGTAAGGTGACATACAGATTCTTGGGATTAGGGCATGGGCATCTTTGAGAATTATTCTGCCTATCACAATTTACACAGTAATACAGTACATGTTATATGTATGTGCATATAATACATACTAATGTGTGGTGTGAATGGAGCCATTGGGGGAAGACTTAGGCGGGAATCTTCCTGCCCTCCTCTCTTTACAGTCTTTGAACTTACCTCATGTACTAGAGTCCAAGCACTGTTCTCTTAGGTTTTCCTAGTCTCCAGTCACCTGCTTCTCTCTTATGCTTGACACCTCCAAAGCCTTCTTCAGACATACACCGTTCTTGGAAGAAACTACATCTCTTTTAGATATTATTTTAAAAGTTAATTATCTTACGCCCATTCTAGGACTTTACTTCCTTTTGGCACATAGAACAGGTAATACTAGAATGTTTTTGGGTTTTTTTGCAGACTGGGAGAGAAGGCCTAACGTCAAGGATTCAAGGATGCTAAGTCAGGGAATTTCCCAAGAAGAATTATTCCAGGTCACATCAGCGGAAAAACACAGTAAAGATGAACTCTGGACCTCCACACTGAAAGCAACCTGTGCTCATCATGACCAGTTAGAGACACATCCAAAAAAACCAGGAGAGACATCTGAAAGATGTCACTGACTCACAAGTCTGCCACTACCCTTAGGGTACATCATGAATGGAGCAAATTTGAGAGAAGTTTAGGCTTAAGATCAGTGCTTGTTAACCAACATGGTGTTCCCACTGGGGAATCCTATAAATACGATCCAGAATTCAGACAGACATTAGGGAGAAGGAACTCTTCAGAGAAGCCATCCAGGAAAGAAATCTTGTGATGAATGTGAGAAGTCACATTCCAGTCAGAACTTAGGCGCCATCAGAGATGCCACACCAGAGAGAAGCCCTACGAGTGAGAGTGTGGGAGAGCCTTTGGCCATATTTCTTCCCTTATTAAACATCAGAGAACTCATGCTGGGGAGAAACCCTGTGAGTGCAACGAGTGTGGAAGAGCCTTCGGCCAGAGCTCTCCTCTTGTCCTACATTATAGGTTTCACACTGGAGAGAAACCCTACAGATGTAATGAATGTGGGACAGCCTTTGCCTACCACATTCCTTGTGAAACATCAGAAAAGTCATGCTGGTAAAAAACACCATGAGTTCAATGAATATCGGAAGGCTTTTGGCTGAAGAACACGTCATTGGAGAGAGATGTATTGGAGAGAGGTCCTATAAATGTCATGTGTGCAGGAAGACCTGGTCGGAGGACACATCTTGTTCAACATCAGACCATACACCCTGGAGAGAAAGTGTCAGGAGGGTGGATGGGCTTCCGGTCATACCTCCTCCTTCACCAAACACCAGAGAACCGGTGTGAAGTCAGAGACACCATGTGAACACAGTGCATTTGCACAGGCTTTGGTCAGGATACGCGTCACAAAGCATGATCCCGGGGAGAAGCCTCATCAGTGTAATGCACAGCCTTCAGTCACATACTGTTCCTAGAAAAAAAATCAAGTAACTCTGCAGGTGTGGTAAAAGCCTTCAGCAATACGTTTCCCTTCCAAAGCTTTGAGAACCCATACTAAAGAGAAATCCTGGGAAAGCAGTAGGTGTGGAGAGACTGAATCAGAGCTCATCCCTCACTGGTCCTCAGAGAATTCGTTCTTGAGAAAAACCCTGTGGATATGGTGAATGGGGGACAGCCCTCAGCTAAACCTCTAACCTTGATGACAGCAGCAAGCTCATCCTGAGTTACAAAGCCTGGGGATGGAAGGCATGTGGGGGCATCTGCTAGGTGGCCCACGCTTGTTGCACATCAGAGGATTTGTACCAGAGTGACTTCGAATTTAGTGAAAGAGGAAAACCCACGATTACAGTTCAGGCCTCAGCATACATCCTGGGAGGTTAATGAATGTGAGGAAGGTTCCTTCAGCTTGGAGACTGATGAAACTAGAGCTGGAAGGAAGTGGAGAAATCAGTCTGGTGATTTTCACCCAGAGGGGTCTATTTTTATAACTGCACTTGTGCCCTGCCTCCTGTCCTGTTACTAATGGCAGCGGGGTATTATCATGTGGATGACGAGAGATGTGAGAGCCATCAGTAATCTAGCCCAACCATACTTCAGAGCCACGGACACTGGTCTTCAGGAGGTGCCACACTGGGCTGGGCCTCTCCTGGTTCGCAGCTGTGGTTTGGGGATGCAAAACCTGAAGGCCTTCCCTGCACAAAACCCCAGGCACTTGTTTTTCTCTAGTGCATGTTACCTTCTCTAGGAGGCAGTGCAGTGGTGTTAAGTTTGAGCAAAACCCAATTTGTATTAGATCTTCATGCTATTAAACTGGAACTTTTAAAATGAAACTTTTCTTTTTTATGCTTTTTATTTTGGGAATTGGGGGGATGGGAACAGTGCTGGGGAATTAGGGGAAGGGGAACAGACAAGTTGCTGTTGTTTTGTTCTTCAGTCTAGTTGAGGAGGACGTTGCTTCACTGGCCCAAGTTGGCACCATCATTGCGCTCTTCCCGGGCGAGGCACATCAGTCGCCGGCTTCTGGACGGCCGCTCACGCTGGCTGCTGGCTACACACGGTAGCCCATGGCAACCCACTGCCACAGGGGCTGCAGCCTACGGCGTCGCCGGCGACTCACAGCAGCCCAGCTCCAGGTTGAGCTGTTGTTCAGCATCTTAGCTGTAGAGGGCAGTGTCACTGGCCCTCATATGTGGGATCCGAACCGGGGCCCTCTGGCGTCCCAAGCCAGTTCTTAACCATCGCGCCACTCGGCCGGCCCTGAAATGAAACTTTTTAAACATTAGAATCACTAATATGTGTATTATAATACTTAAATCAAAACTTCAAAAACATTATTCTAAGTGGAAAGAGCCAGATGCCAGGGACCACATATTGTATAGTTCTATTTATATGAAACGTCCAGAAAAGCCAAATCTTCAGAGACAAAGTATTGTAGATGAGTGGCCTGAGGCTGAGAGTGGCAACTGGGAGTGACTGCAAATGTTCAAGGGTTCTTAACCATCGCGCCACTCGGCTGGCCCTGATGTTACTTTCTACATCACCTGTGTATCTTTGGCATCAGTTTTTATTGTCTGTAATAGTTACCTCTAAGCTTAGTGGGTCTCAAGTTTATATGTTGCCTCTGCAGCTGTGGAGAAGTCAAAATCAAGATTTGGCATAGACCAGAGAAGTCTTACCTGAAAAGAATTAGCTTATACTAGGACAGTGCTTCAAGCAGTTAAAGTCCAGATGAGGAAGCTGAGCTCAGAACTCAGGGAACCGATTCAAAGTGGGTCCGTGCAGACAGGCAGGACCGAGGGGGCCCCAGAGGTTGGCCAAGGCAGAGGGGAACAGGCAGGTAGGGTGCACAGGAGCCATCTGGACAGCTGAGGTCAGGATACAAGTCTAGGAGCATAAAAATCCTATGGGAATTTCCTCCTAGAAAGCCCAGGTTCACAGGAGCAGAACAGCAAATATTTTATATTAGTTATAGCTTTATTTGCTCGACTCACCCTTTTCCCCAGGGCCCTTCTGTAAGCACCATGCAAGTCACTTTATATACCTGGATGCCTGCAACAATGATAGCTGGTCTTTGCCTAAAATCGGTCCTTTCCTGTGTATCTGCCACATCAATCATTCTCATCAGTGTGCACCTCTGCCCCCTCTGAAAGCCTTCCTACTGCCTACAGGATGAACCTTCACCCCTCAGTTTGGCATTGAATGCCCTCTTCAGTCTGTTCTAACTTGACGCTCCTGACAAGACCCCCTGTTTCAGACAAATGACCTTGGTTGCCATACCTCAGATATACGTCCATACTACCCAGCCTGTGGATGTTTGCTTAAGCTGCACCCCTAGCCTGGAATGCTCTCCCCACCTATCTAATACCTAATGATAGGTTAAAACCCTGTTCAGGAGCCCACTCCTCAGGCAAGAATTCTCTTATTCATTTACAATTGAAAAAGCATTTGTTGTTTGTGTAAGTTTTCTAAAATGAAAGCTATCTGGACTTGGGGTAGTTCTTAGCACTGTCTTGACCTACTTGTATTTAAACTATTTCTTGTGTATCATCTGGCCACTTATCTCCTGAACCAAATTATCAGCTGCAGCTGCCTCAGATCAGTTCTCATACTTCCTCTCAGAAATGAGCACACAGTAGGTGCTTAGTAACCGTGTGTTGATTTGAAAAACAACTTGCATCGTCCAGGTTTTCTCGGTACTTCTGACCAACTTCACACTTTCATACTTACTACAAGAAAAGATTTCTTTCTAGAAAACTACCAATTAAATATTTTCTTAGAAAAATACAATGTTGCTTCCTGTAATTCTTTTTCAAATTCAAATCTAGATTAGCACTGTTCCACCTTTTGGGGGTGGGCTGGTGTGTGTGTACATGAAAATTCATTGCTGTTTTATTTTGTTGCCCTACCATCACCTCTCACAGCAACTACCCAGAATTAGACCAAACTTCACAGGTTAAGGATAACAGTACCTGACAAGACTGTTCTCACTTCAGACACCAGCCACAGATTTTGGGGTCCCTAGGTCACCTTCTGACCAGCTGGCTGCAAATTTGGGAATTCCCACTATCGCAGGTTCAATAATTCTCCAGAACAACTCTCAGAACTCAGGAAAGCACTATATTTATTATGATTAATTTTATTATAGCAAAAAGATAAAAATCAAACCAGCCTAAGGAGGAGACACACGGGGTGAGGTCTGGGAGCATATCACATGTGAGACTTCCATCTTCCCCAGGAGCACATTACCCTGCTGGTGTACTGATGCAGCAATAGGAAGGGTACTGCCGACCAGGGAAGCTCACCTGAGCTTGCTTGTCCAGAGTTTTTATCGGGGGTTTTATTATCTTGGAATGATTGATTGATCACACAGTTGAACTCAATCTCCTGTGCCCCTCCTCTCCCTGGAGGTTGGACTTATATCACACTGCCAAGTCCCAACCCTGTAATCGGTTGGTGTCTTTCTGGAATGGCCAGCCTCCATCCTGAGTCATCTCATTAGCATAAACTAGGAGCCAACCATGATTAACCTCATTAGCATAAACTATAAGGTCTGGTCCCAGAGGCCTGCCGTGAATAACAAAGACACTCCTATCACTCAGGAAACTCCAAGTACCTACCTCCCAGGAACCAGGGACAAAGGCCAGCCAAGTTCTTTATTACACAAGCACACGCACTCAAATCAATGTGAAAATGCTTCTTCAGGGCCGGCCGAATGGCGCAGTTGGTTAAGAGTTTGCTTAAGAGCACGAGCTCTGAGCAACAGGGTCACTGGTTCCATTCCCACATGGGGCCAGTAAGCTTCGCCTGAGCCGCGCCCAACCTGAGCTGCAGCTGAGCTGCCAACAGGTGGCAGGATGGCTCAGCTGGTGAGAGCACGTGCTCCTAATGACAAGATTGCCTGTTTGTTCCATGCCTGGGACTGAACTAGGCACCTTGAGCTGAGCTGCTACCCGGATGGCTCAATGGATAGAGCGTGCGTTCTTAAAAGCAAGGTTGCCGATTCAACAACAACAAAACAATGCTTCTTCAGTTGTTATTCAAATAAACAATTCATAAACATTAAGACCATACTTTAGACATTACTCAACAAATAACTGCAATATACCACTTCCATTTACAGACCACTGCCAACAACTTAGACCCAGACCCATGGCTGATGGCCAAGGAGGCCGGAAATGGAAGTCTGTCCGGGGCAGCAATGGGCCCAGCTAAAATTTGGGGATTCTATTACTGAGGAAGAAGAGGAGGGCAGGTATTGACAGACGACCAAGAATGTGCCTTAAGACCCAAATACTCCAAAGTTATTTGGGAGCAAGATCATATCCATGATACTGTGTGGGTCTGTCTTCTCTACAAAATGAAGGGCTTTGCACCTGTGGAAATAAATGAAGACCGCCCAAATGAGAACAAACAGAGCTTGCTAGAGCAAAGGACCAGCCACTCTCACCTGCATTTGGCAAAGAACCAAAGGCATACATACAGAGAGTAAGAGAGTCTTATAATGAGAAAAAAAAAAAAAAGAAAAAAAAAAAAGAAAAAAAAGGAAGCTTCACATATGCCCTGATTCAGCTTGTTGGCTGGGAAAGCTCGAGGAAGGAGGACATCTTATATGATTGGTTTGGGAGCAAATCTGGCTTTATATGGTTGGCCCTAATTTGGAAGTCGGGGCAAATAATAGGGGAACTGGCCGTCATTGACCAAGTTCTGGCTGTTCTGAGATGACTGCGGCAGAGGCTGTGGCCTGGCTTCCAGGCTGGCTGCTGCAAAGGTGCGGGTCAGAGTTCTGTTGTCATCTGTGGTGTATCCATTGTCCACCGGTACATCAAGTCCCTCAGCTCCCCCTTTTGGCCATTCTCTTGCTTGACAGCTGACCAATTCAGACACTGGAGATCCAGGTCTTCACCCCTTGGGGATTCTTCAGTTGTCCCACAGGAAACTGTACCATGAGATCTGGGTCTTGTTGTGCCATCTGATGAGACAGCAGTTGTGCTTAGGCACTGAGCAGTTGTGCAGAGGCACTGAGCCTTTTGAAGGCGATGTAGAGCCTGTCCACCATGCCTGTCCCATTGATCCACGTACCGCAGCAAATAACAGCAATGGCCCAGATGCCACAAAGATCAGTCAATAAGAAGTTTACACAGTTGCCCAGAACTGCTTGTGCCAGTGAGCTGAGGCAAATCTGCAGCTCTTCCATCGAGGAAAGGGATGTTGTGATTGATAACTTCTGCCAGAAGCAGTGATCGGTCTTTTATAGTCTTTATTTCCCAGCATTGGAAATACTTCTCTGACGTTCACATAAATAGTGAGTCAGCAATTCCCCAAGGTAGGATGCTTGAACAATCAAGGGTGGCCTCACTTTGGCGCTCCTGCCTGAGATGGGATTTCCGGCATTGGTGACTTAAGAGTTAGGGTATAGACATGTCTTTGAATACTATTCCTTAACTGTTCGAGGTTTTAGCCTTAGGAAAATGCAACCAGTTGACGTGGCAACAAAGAAAGTAGAATCCAATAGGGTACATAGAGATCCAGGGGAGGAGGAGTTGTTCATGACATGAGATTGGAACCACAGCGTTACATTAGCTGTGACATATTTAGGTCCCTATTAGTTTCTTCCAGGTGATAAATGACCCATTACCCTGAAAATTATTGACTTCAAATTTAGAATTGCCTGGGGTCTGATTAATAGACTGTAATAATTGGTTCTTTTTCTAGGCGAGAGGGACAGTAGTAGCAAAGTCAATGTTGATTTGAGGTGATTTGTGACTGTAGGTGCAAATGGAAAAGTCATTGGCTATAATTCCCTATAGCCTCACTTGATGAGACCAGACCTGTGCGTATGTATTTTATCATGGTGATCTGGCAATGGTGGCATATCCGGCAGCTGGTAGGATTGACAGTAATGGCTACTGTTTGGGATAATCTAAGAATGGCGTTAGAATGAGTATGTTCTGACCTAATAATTATAATAAATAGAAAAGGGGCCATTATGGGTGGGTGACAACCAAGGATCCATAGAAATGAGAAGGGCAGCTCTAAGCAAACAGATAAAAACACAAAACAGGACTCTGACACAAGTCTTGGTCTGACGTCTTGGGCAGAAGCTATCTACTATCTGAGGTCATCTATTTGTTCTAAAGGTCTTTGGTCAACTGTTTACATCTGAAGATCAGCTGCATCCAGAGTATCATGGAGGATTCTCGGTTTGAAGTCCTCTATTGGAATAGGCTTCCAGTTGTGTCAATTCTGAACTTTAGTTGTGATGTATGTACTGAATAATTGACTTCCTGGAGTCTCACTGCTGTATTTGTTGTTAATAGTACCTAATAAGGTCCCATACAGTGAGGTAAAAGAGTGGGTTTCCTCTGATGTCTCTTCCGATAGACAAAATCTCATGGTTGAAGATCATAAAGAGATTATTTAGGAAGATGCTGGGGGACGGTGGCCTTCACCTGTTGATGACAGTCCTGGGGATAGTACATGAATCCTTGGCAATATTTTGCATGTCTGCATGCAGCAGAAGAGAGTCTAGTACTGATAGTGAAATAAATCTAAATAAATGGGCCTTCCAGTTATCAGTTCTTAGGGGGATAACTGATGCATCCTCAAGGGAGTGGCCATAAGGGCTTCTGGGTGAACCTTTGGCCAAGGAGCTAAAGGGTTTCTGAAAATTTTGCTGATTTTAAGTTAAGGATGCCATTGGTTCTTTCAACCTTTCCAGAATATTGTGGGTAAGGGCAACATAGTTTTTGAGGAAGAGGTAATGCCATATGGAGTTCAGTTATAATGGTTCCTGTAAAGTGTGTGCCCCAGGTTGTACACACAAAATCAAGCAGCTTTCAGTGACTATAAGGACTATAGCTTTTCATGAAATGAAATGCTTCAACAATGAAAATAGAGATGCAATAACTAAAACATAGTCAAACCTCATGAAGACTGGGATCTGGACAAAATCCACCAAGGTCTCCAGCCTCTTGAGGCTTTGGCTCCTAGCCAGGTCCCACACCTTTACATCTGTTCCCAGGATTATCTTTACAGGTGACACACGACCTGAAATCAACATGTTAAAAATCTGTCTTTTTGAAGTTTATTTACCAACATTGCTTCAAGATAGTAACCAATTTGACCATGATGGGTAATTTCACAGAAAATGTAGCTAATATCCATCTGAAATAATCTGGCGCCACCAACCGGCCATTTTAGGAGCACCAGTGATAACCTGAGTGAAGGATCCAATTACTACTATCATTTTTCTTTTTCCGAATCAGGGCATAACCACTGATGCTTTATAATGGCCTCTTTGAGTTCCTCCAGTTTGGAACCTCACTTTGGTTCACAAGGCCGCTTGCTTGGCATAAGGGTCTGCTATAGCATTTCCTTTACTTTCATCTTGTCTCTTTTGCATGAGCCTCCGTCCTTATAAAGCCACCTCTCTAGGAAGTAGAATGAATCTATGCGATACTTAGCTTGTAGTCGTTTTTGGTGGGGATTCAAGCAGAGGTTAGGAAAACTTTGTTTTCAAACCATCTCCAAGTCATGTATTGATCTCAAGCATAGTTGCTGTCTGTGTACATGCTTATTCTCTGGTCTTTGATTAGTTGATAAACTATATGTATATGACCAGTAAGTTCTGCTGTCTGGGCTGACTGTACCTCAGCTAGAGGACTATATTCTAAAGAGAACTTACATTAGCAATAGCATATCCTGCTCTATACCATCCAGTTCGTTTTTGAGACACGATTCATCAACAAAAAAATATTAGCTCAGAGATGTTCAATGGAGTTTATTATAAATCTGAGCTTGGTACAGAGAGTTCCCTGACTTGAGGTAAGACAACCTGAGGTTCTCCTTCTGTCAGGAGCAGGCGTGTGGCAGGATTCAGGATGCTGCAGCAGTGAGCACAAACATGAGAGGCAGAGCATAACAGAATAGCATAGGATGTTAATTAGCTGGTTGAAAGTGTAAAACTACCTCTATTCACAGATGACATCTTATACCTGATCTTATATCTAGAAAATGCTAAAATATACTGAAAACCTATTAGGATAAATGAGTTCATCAAAGTTTCTGGATATAATCAGATCAACATACAAAAATCAATAATAGTTCTATACATGATGCATAAAAGAAAATAATCAACAAATTGGATTTCATTAATATTAAAAACTTTTGCTTTGGGGGAAAAAAACTATTAAAAGAATAGAAAAAACAAGCTACAGACTGTGAGGAAATTTCTGCAAACAACCTATTAGAAAATACACTCGCATTTAGACTATACGTATAAAGAACTCTCAAAGCAATGGTAAAAGAAACCAATCCAACTAGAGAGTGAGCAGCCATTTCACCAAAGAGGACAAACAGGCGGCTAACAGGGATGTGAAAAGCAGCTCCCATCATTAGCTAGTAGGGAAAGGAAGATTGAAACCATGATGAGAACTATTAGAACAGCTAAAAACATTTATTTAGTGACAATACCAAATGAATGCTAGTGAGAATGCAGAGGAACCAAATCTCACTGCTTTTCAGCAATGAAATGCTTCAATCCATCCTGAAAATGGACATATAATAACTAAAACGTATTCAAACCTCATGAAGGCTGTGAGCTAGACAAAATCCACCTGAAGGTGTTCAAGGACCCTTGAGTAATTTGCTGGTGGGAATATGAAATGGTATGGCTTCTTTGGAAAAGAGTTTGCCAATTTCTTAAAAAAACTAAACATACACTTACCATATAGTCTAGCCATCTCACTACCCGGCCTTCATCCCTGAGAAATGAAAGCATATGCGCACACAAAATATATACCCCAAACTACTGAAAGCAGGGACTCAAAAAGATACCTGTACCTCCACGTTCATAGTAGCATCATTCACAATAGTCAAAAGGTCTATTGGCAGATGAACAGAGAAATAAAATATGTATATACACACAATAGAATATTATTCAGCCTTAAAAAAGGAAGGAAGTTCTGGCACAGGTTAAAACATGAGTGGACCTTGAAAACATTATGCTAAGTTGAAATAAGCCAGTCACAAAAAGACAAATACTGTATGATTCCTCTTATATGAGTAACCTTGAGCAATCAAATTCATAGAGACAGAAAGTAGAATGGTGGTTGCCAGAGACTGGAGAGAAAAAGGAAGGGCAAGTTGCTCTCTAACAGGTACCGAGTTTCAGTTATGTAAGATGAAGAGAGTTCTGGAGGTGGATGGTGGTGACGGTGGCACAATTATGTGAATGTTTTAATGCCTCTGAACTGTACACTTAAAAGTGGTTAAGATGGTACATTTTATGTTATGTGCATTTTATCACAATTAAAATATTTTTCATGTCAAAAAATACACATGGATGTTCATAACAGCTTTGTTTGAAATAGCCAAATATTAGAGACAAACTAAATATCCTCCAGTGGGTGAATGCTTAAACGAAAAGGAAGAAACTACTGATGCATGTAACAACTTGGATGGACACCAAGGGCATTATGATGACTGAAAATGCCCACCTCCAAAGGTCACACACACTGTATGATTCCATCTATACAACATGGCAAAAATAGGCAAAGCTATAGAGACAGAGAATAGATTGGTGGTTGTCATGGGTTAGGGACGGAGGGGCAACAGCGAGAGGGACGAATGTGACCATAAAGGGAAAGCAGCAGGGGTGTTTGTGGTGACAGAGTAGCTGTGTATCTTGATTGTGGTGGTTACAGGATGTACACATTTAATAAAACTATATAGAACGACGCACATATGAATGTATGTAAAACAGATAAAATCTAAATAAACTGGATTGTACCAATGTCAATCCCTTGGTTTTGGTATGTACTATTGTCATATAAGATGTTCCCTTGGGACAACTGGGTGAAGGGTGCATGGGACCTTTCTGTACTATTTTCATAGCAACTTGCTATGAATCTATAATTATTTCAAAATAAAAAGTTAGGAACAAATAAGAAACAAACCCAAACCTGAATGCTTGACCATGGGCCAGCAAGTTCCCAGATGACCTGAGTTGTCTGTCCATCATGAACATGTCTGCTCCACCAGGTCATGGAACTGGGCACACAGCAATGTGCTACCATCACGTGGAAGCAGTATGCGTGGACTGGGGCTCAAGCAGGTCCTGAAGGAAAAAGTAACTGTGTGATTTCCTCATGACCATGGCTTCCACTCCTGCTACACTATCTTCTCATTCTCAACCCCACCCACAGCTCCATGAAAAGGTCCCATGACCAAGCTGCCTGAAGGAAATTCTTGGGCTCTGCTGGATATGCAGGCACTGCCTGAAAGTGGACAATGGTGAAGGGCAATTCTCTCAGTAGAATGGCCTTTTGAAGACTTGGTTATGGAGCTAGGAAGACCGCAACACCTCATCGAGTGGTGCGATGTCCTCCAGGATGTAATATATGCTCTAAGTTAGTATCCAACACACGGTTCCCTTTCTCCCACAGCTGGGACTTACAGGGTCAGTTACCAAGGGCTGGGGGTGCGAGTTGCTCCACTCACTTATTATCCCTCCTGGGGGACTGGCAAAAATTCTGCTTCCTGTCCCTGTGACTTTAGGCTCTGCTTATCTAAAGATCTTAGTTCCAAAGGGAGGAATGCTTCTACCATGTGATACAACAATGATTCCATTCAATTGGAAGTCGATACTGTCACCTGGCCACTTTTGACTCCTCATGCCACTGAATCAATAAAGAAAGGGTTTCTGGCTGGGGTAACTGGTCCTGACTACCAAGGGGAAATTGAATTGCTGATGCACAAGGATAAGAAGGCATGTGCATGGAATGCAAGAGATGCCTAGGATACCACTTAGTACTCCCAAGTCCTGTGATTAAAGGCGGTGGAAAACCACAACGACCTAATTCGTGGAGGGCTTTTAATGATCCAGGCCCTTCAGGAATGACGGTTTGGGTCAACCCACCAGTAAGGAACCATGAGCAGTTGAGGTGCTTGCTGAAGGCAAAGGAAACATGCAATAGGTAGGAGACAGTTATAGATACTAGCTATGATCACAAGACGTCTGTGTCTTTCTCCTTCTGCGGTCATCCGGGCAGAAAGCCATAGCCCAGAGCCGGGACACAGGAAACCTTAGAATCAGAATAAAGCTAATGAACCTTAGAGCGCTACTGGAGTGGGTATGAACGACTTCTCTACACTCCTTGGCTGCCTTACTCACCCCGTGGACCTTCACTCAGACCCTTTTCAATGGCGTCGGTACTTCTCCCACCTGGACAAAGGGTCGCGGGGCCCAGCACGTGTCGCGAGGAGGAGGAGCTCACGCGCGCGCGCCCGTCGCCCTGGAGATCCGGCTGGTCCCGCCCCCTCCCGCTTCAGGACCGCTTCAGCCAGCCCTAGGCCTCCCTCGGGTCCTCGCGCGAGGACCCAGCGGGGCTGTCCGCGGCTGCACCGGACTTATTCTGCCCTGTGGCCCGCCCGGACGGTCTCCCACCCTGGGCTGCGCTGTGGCCTGGACGTCGTGCCTCGGGAATCTAGCCACGGGCCAAGGCCCGCCGTGTGACGAGGAGCAGTCGCGTCAGGCGGTGGGGAGGGCTGCCCGGACGAGGCGCCCTGGGGGCTCCACCATGGCGGCGGCGGCGGTGCGCGCGGCGGGCCGCCTCCCTACATTGTGTCGCGCGCCGGCTGGTAAGAGCCGGGACGCGGAGCGGGGGATGCTAGCAGGGCTCCGGGGCGGAGAGAAGCGGGGTTCCTCACGCTGGGCTCCGTCCCGCCCAGACCCGCTGTGTGACCTTGCACGCGCCCGCACCCTCTCTGAGTCGTAGGTTCCGACTGTGAAGTGCGGATGAACTGGACGCCATCCAAGGTCCCTTGCAGTTCCCCAGACCGCTAGTGCGTGCAGGGCAGAGAGGGGCAGGGAACCGAAAGCAAGCGTCGCTCTTCTTACGGGCGTGACCCACGGGTTCATTCAGAGATGTCCAACCGGGGTTCGAGGTGGAGGGCGGCCAGCGAAGCTTAAGGGAGAGAGGCCGTCCTGCAGCTTATGTCACATAGGATTAGTGCCACTTGTGTTAGATTCCGGCTGGTCAGTGCCATTATTTTATGTTTTTTTTTTCACTTTAAATGGATTTTTATTCATGCATTATTTAACTCATGCACGTATGTAACACCATACATTTTTTATTCATAAAACATTATTTCACTGGTCAGTGCCATTATTAAAAAGAATGATGTTTCCAACGTCAGTAGTTTTGCTGTCATTGTCCTCCCCTACCCCCTGTTGGCTGTTTGCAGCCCGAGGAAGCTGTCTGCTGTCATTCAGCAGTGCATGAGGGTTCTTACTTCTCCACATGCTTGTCAACGTTGTCTGCCCTTTTTTGATTGTAGTCATCTCAGTGGGTGTGAAATGCTATTACTCTTTGGTTTTGATTTGCATTTCTCTGATGTCTAATGAGCATCTTTTCTTATTGCTTATTGGCTATTTGTATGTGTTCTTTGGAGAAATGTCTATTTAAGTCTTTGCAAAAAAACTTTTTTAAAGATTTTATTGGGGAATTGGGGGAGGGGAACAGACAAGTTGCTGTCCTTTTTTTGTTCTTCAGACTAGTTGTGGAGGACGTGGCTTCACTGACCCATGTTGGTATTATCATTGCGCTCTTCCCAGGTGAGGCAGATCCGTCTCCGGCCACTGGACGGCTGCTCACAGCGGCTTTTGGCAGCTCACGCCGGCTGTCGGCCACTCATGGTAGCTTTATGGCAGCCCACTGCAGCCTACGGCATCGGCAGCGACTCATGGCAGCCTAACTCCAGGTCGAACTGTTGTTCACCATCTTAGCTGTAAAGGGCGCAGCATCACTGGCCCTAATGTGGGATCCCGAAACGGGGCCCTGCTGCTCAGAGCTGGCGTCCCAAGCCAGCTCTTAACCAACGCGCCACTCGGCTGGCCCGCTTTGTGCATTTTAAAATTGGGCTCTCTTTCTAACTGAATTGTAAGAGTGCTTTATATTTTCTAGATACAAGTTCCTAGTTAGATATGTGATTTGCAAAAAATTTCTCCCATTCTGTGTGCCGTCTTTTCACTTTCTTGATAGTGTCCTTTGAAGCACAAAAGTTTTAAATTTTGATGAAGTCTGATTTGTCTATTTTTTGTTTTTATTGCTTGTGCTGATAGTGTCATGCCTAAGAAACCATTGCCAAACCCAAGGTCGTGATGATTTGTCTTTGTTTTTTCCTTAAAAGTTTTATAGTTTTTGCTCTTAACTTTAGGTCTTTGATTCATTTTGAGTTAATTTTTATATAGGATGTGAAGTAGCATGTGGATATTCAGCTGTTCCAACACCATTTGTTGAAAAGATTATTCTGTCCCCATTGATTTGCCTTGGCACCCTTTTCATGAGTCAGCTCCCGGTAAATGCTGTCAGAGCCTGTGAAGCACTGTGCTGTGTGAAGTGGCACACAGTACAGTGATAGCCTGGTGCAGGGGCTCCAGAGGAGAGAGGGAAGCAGAGTGCTGAGGAGCCCTGAGGGAGTCAGGGAGGCTTGACAAAGGGGTGCTAGTCAGACAAACCAGAGAACACATGAGACACAAAAGGATGCAAGAGCAGAGCGTGTTCGGGACTATGAACCTGGCATGGCCAGAGAGGGTGGAGGAGGTGTGGCTGATGTGCGTGCAAGGTTGGGGCCAAGTTGCTGGCCTGTAGACTGTGCTGAGGTCTTCTGACTTTGTTCTACAGACAGTCAGGAGCCAAAGAATTATCTCCCGGGGCTGTGAAGTATCCAAACCTGTCATTTTAGATAGGCCTGTCTGACAATGGATGATGAATTCAAGGGGGAGAGACCAGAAGCAGTGAGAATGAGTAGGAGACTTGTTACCATGTGGCTGAGGGATGGTGAAGCCTAAACAAGGGGCAGTGAAGACAGGTGGATTGATTTTTGAGGAGAATGTATAGGGCTTGGTAACTGGTTAGAAGTGAGAGTGAAGCTGTGATGTGATGTCACTTACTTGGGCAAGTGGTCATGGAGCCCTGAAATTACTCATTTTACTTGTCTTGGTTCTTTTAGTCTATAGATATTAATATTAATATGGGTGTTACTGTTTTAAAAGTTCCTTTTCATGTAGAGATGTATCTTAAACTTTTTTAATTTTTTTTTTTTAATTTTACAGGTCACTTATGGTCCAGGCAGCTTTGCTTAAACACCTTTCCAACAGCATCCATTTTGTCGTTGAAGACTGTCCTCAGCAATGGTGAGATTCAGAGATTCATTTATATAACTACCTTTTCTTATAAGATCTAATGTTAGAGTACTTTATGTAGTGTATAGAAAGATAAATGAACAAAGCACATTCTTTATAATGGAAATTCATAGGGTCTACAAAGTGGTTTTCAAATTTTTTATGATTGCAGTTGTTACAGTTCAAGGCTTTAAACAAATTGCTACCATTTATTGAGTGGTTACCGTGTGCCAGGCTAGTGACATGTTATTTCGGTTAGTCCTCACACCAGTGTTATTCCTATTTTACAGATAGTAAGTGAGTCTCTGACAGGCTAAGTGACTTGCTCAAGGTCACGCCGACAGTAAGTGGGAGGACTGGGGCCTGAGCTCTTTGGGTACCGGGGTGCCTCTTCCTAACAGTCTCTGTAGAGGCCTCTGCTCCTACACCGAGCAAGTGCAGGGCCCCTCCTCAGTCACTCCCCAGAAGGGAGCAAGCTGACCCTTGCCAAGCCCATGCTGTGCCTGTGGTCATTAGATCCTGCCTTTTCCACAAGGACTCTGCTTAGGGCAGAATCGAAATCTCATTATGTCCTTGAGTTTCTGGAACTCTGCATGCTTACTCCTAGTGTTGTCCCCTTTCCATGTTAAGCCCACCTGCCAAGAAGCCCGTACACCTTGCTGGAGTGGGTCAGCAGAGGGGCCTGGTGGGCCTGGGCTCTTCCCCTTATTTGTTCGTTTGTTGGTTGGGTGATTCATTCATTCATACTCTACTTACTCTGCCCTTCACTCTGAGCCAGGCAGTGTCCCTGACCTGAGCTGGTATGGGGCAGGCCAGGGAGGAGCGCTCTCGCCTGAGGTGATAGCCCTGAGGAAGGGCCTGGGTGGGGAGGAGTGCTGATTGGCAGCCTGTGACACAGTTCTCTGCAGCAGCATTTCCTGCCTTTACGACCATGGGCAGATGTCACCCCTAAACACTCAGGTTCCTCATCTATAAAATTGAGACAGTAGTCTCTGCTTTGAAGACTTGCGTTATTTCTTAAAATATTGTACGTCCACAGAGGACCAAAAGGTTTATGTCTTAAAACCAGTTCCCTTTCCTACTTCTTCCCATCATCTAGTGACACCTTCCATCCTTTGAGCTTTCTTCTGGTTCTCTTTCCAAGTAGACTATGAATATTATTCTTTTCTCTGTTAACTTTGCTATGCTAACTGAAGAGCTAACTCTTACACCACCGTCCCTGCTATTTCCCCGCATGGTTGTATACACAATTTGGAAGGGCTCCATGGACAGTGTTTTCATTATGAAGGTTATGTGTATATGATTCACAGCTAGTAGTATTCGGTCATTACATTCCTCTACAACATTTCCTTTTTCCTAGAGTTAATAATTGCCTTGTTTTTAGAAAGTTGCTTTGTTTTCTTTGAGCCTATTGCTATATTTTCTAAGTGCTGCAACAGTTTGGTCAGAAACATGGCAATATTTTTTCTAAAATTTCTCAAACATCACTAGTTAACCAGTTTGGTTTAATAGAAAAGACTTAAATTAGAAGGAAGAAATTCTTCATGGTGAAAACTTAGACACTAAAGTGAAACCTTCAAGGACAGACTGTTTTTGCAGAGGTCCACCCATGAGGCTTCCTGGTCTTGGCCGGCCCTCTGTGGACTCCATGGTGACTGTTTCCTGAGACGGGGATGTCATGGTCTGAAATTAATAAGAATTCAAAGGAGCAGAGCAAAAGTGGTCATTGAATATCGGTGGGTAATAATCTGTAACTGAGCTTCATCATGTGACTTACCACTAGCCGCTGCCATCTCCTGTTTTACAAATCACAGCACAATTTAAGTAAACTCTGTTGTAGCAGCAGCGTATTAAAAGAGATGATTTCTAAACTCCTAAGTAGATTTCTTTTTACTTTTGACAAGTGGGCCTTTTTAGGCTAAATACATTATTAGCTATGAATAATATTTTGGTCTTTAGAAAATGATTAAAGAATTCTAAATCTGATGGTAGTAATTTTTATACTCTTGAAGTATATCAAAGATTACAATAGTAAACTGCAAGATAAAATTTGTGTGTAATTGATATTTTGCTCAAGGTTGAGGAAGTTATAAGGAAAGCTAAAATGTGTCCAAAAGAATGGGGTTTGGAATGATCACCGAAGCCCCGAATTTATTTAAAATGAAAAGCCAGTATTTTCTATTTACCGAATTTCCCCATGTATAAGATGCACCCTTTTTCGAAAAATTTGGGGTCTAAAAACTGGGTGTGTCTTACACAGTGGTTATATGTGTGCAAAAACAAGCGCTTAAAAAGCGGGAAATGCAAGTAAAAAAAATCTACAACCACTGTATACGACGCACCCAGTTTTTAGACCCCCAATTTTTTTTTTTTTTTAAAGATTTGTATT